CGGCTCCCAGGAGAAGCTCCCCAGCAGTGGGGGACAGATTTGCACATTAGTAAGAGTATTATTGGTAGCGCCTCCAAATGCATCACTTGTTACCTGCTGTTTCTGATACTGAAAATCATTCAGCTTTCACGTATATTTTTCTTCTTAGCAAATATGATTTTTTTCTTCCTTTTTTTTCAAGTTCTTTTCACATAAGTGTGCACAGGGAAAAAGACAAGGTATAAGTTTTATAATTACCTGGCTAACCTGGTTTACGGGAACCATACTTCAGTGTGTGGTTAAGTAGCTATTTCTATGGTTACACGCCTACTTCTCAGTGAAGGCAGTCACTATTAAAAGTCAACCTGGTGATTATTCATTTTAACATAGTTGCATTTTGGTCAGACTGATTTGCATCACCTTAAAACCAAACGACTGCAAGATCTGGAGAAAGCTGTCTGGAGTGACGTTCCCTTTGGCATTCCTGAGGAATTAGCAGCACGTGCCTAGGTTGCAGTTGTGTAGCGGAGTTCACCAGGTGAAAGGAAAGGAATTTTTTTTAAAAGAGAGGGACTACGAAGGCAGCAAAGCAAGAGGCAGGATGGTGCCTACATCATCTAGGAATTAATTACGTTAATTCGCCTTGTGAAATACGTGCGATGACAAGAGATGCCGGTGTAAGGAAATACGAAGCGTAAACACGGGCGCAGATTGCAGAAAGAAAGGGGGCTGGAGCAGGGACTCTCTCGTCCCAACCCAGGCAGACTTACCTCTCCTCCAGTGCAGGGGAAGGGGCTCGAATATCTGGAAGTGCAAATGGCTCCTCTCTGCCTCACATCATCCTCCAGCCCGAAGGTGGCCGAACAGTTAGCAGCAAAGTATTTGTAAGGCTTCCACGTCTCGCCGAAGTCCTGGGAGCGCTCCAGCACCATGGCAGCCGGCCTGGGCGACTTGAAGACCATAATCAAGTGAGTGAAGTAGAAGGCGGCTTCCAGGTCCAGGCGGATGGTCTCGCGGGGGGCATCCCGGGCCGCCTGCCACCAGGTGCGGGGCAGGCGGAACGGGGAGTCGGCCATGGCGGCGGGGGGGTGCGCCAGCCCCGGCTGGGCCCCGCCGCAGCGGCCGCACGAGGGGCGCCGGCAGCGCCGCTCCGCGTCCTCGCTGTAGCTGCAGAAGCGCTCGGCGCCGCGGCGGCCGCACGACGTGTCGGTGCGCAGCGCCCGCCCGAGCGCCAGGTTGCCCATCCGAGGGTTGCAGGCCTTCTCGCAGGGGCTGCTCGCTGCCGCCGCGCCGCCCAGACCTGCGGGGCAGAGAGCGGGGGCTGGAGGCGGCTCCTGAGGTGGGAGCACCTCACCCCGGCAGAGCAGACACATCCCGCGGCACGCGGGATGCTGTCCCCGCCGAAACCGTGCGCCGCTGGTACCCACGGAGCCCTGGAGGGGCTGTGGAACAGAGTGGCACTGCTGCTCAGCTCTCCCCTCTGTGGAGTTTAGCGCGTCTGTAAGAGCAAAAAAAGCCACCCCCAAAGCTTTCAGGGTTTCCCTGCACTTGGGAAGGTCCCTACCTATCAAGAGATGCAGAGCAGGCAGCAGACAGGGAGAGATGAGTACGGCCTGCCCTCCCGCCCGGGGACACCAGAGCAGGGCTGAGGCATCACGGCCATGCCATCCATGCCCCTAGGCCCCCAAAGGGATCCAGGTGGCCCTGGGGAGGTGTAAAAAGCAGAAGAAAGGCAAGCTGCTGCCAAGGCAGCATGATGCCACGAGGCCAGGAGACTGCCATGGGGGACAGGGCTGCTGCAACCCAGCCCAGCGTGCAGCACATCAAGTGTCAGGGTGTGGGAGCCCACAGGAATATCACCTACCAGCAAGGACATCAAGTCTTCACCCCCTTTCCCACCACTCCGTCCCTATCCCAAATTTTCCCACAATCAGAAACTGCTGCTGACACCAGTGCTTAATTGTAGCATGACTTAAGTTTGGAAAGGCTGTTGCTGGTGTGTGTAAATGAAAGAAAAAAAAAGTTTTGGTTGAAATTGTGCTGGCAAGCTGCCACACAGCTGAGACTCTGTGGTTTTTGTTCAAGCTTTTCTGGAAATCCTGTCAATTTTAAAATCCACAGTTATAGAGTCAAAAAAAAAAATACCATGGACTTTACTGTGAAACCATGTAACTCTCATGTGTAATCAATGTAACTCTTTGTGCAGCAAAGCTTGATTAGCAGCTCTCCAACTTTTTATTAATAAACTTAAGAGTAGATCAAAGTGGTATTTGGGGAATTGTTTAACATTAAAAAAAAATCTCTGTTGACTTGGATGTGTGGAGGACAAAGCATCTGAGGTATATAATGTCTTCTTTATCATCAGGCCAGTCATACACAGTCAGCTTTGTGCAGCAATTAATGTCTTCTTCTTGGCATTTTTGTTATGCCTGAAGGTCATTTCAGTTTAGCATCCAATAAATCCTTTATCTGGGGCTTATTCAGCATTTGCCCACAGTGTCATAGTTGCAATTAAGCTATGTTATGCACTAGCAGTGCTAAGCCTTCCAAGCCTGATAGCATCCCCCATTCTCCCACTCCTCAAGAAGCACTCTGGATAAAACGCATTTTTACCACAAAAGTTCTATACAGGTTTTCTATAGTGTTTCCTCAGAACAGCTGTGGAGCACTGCTTGCTATGCACCCAGTAAAAGGCACTTCTGAATCCAGTCTCTGGATTTCACTGGGTAAGCTGTCTAAATGCTCCGTCATGTTAGCTTCCTACAGTGTGCTGGTAAAGCTGTGTTGGAAATGACCTATAGTAAGTGTGCAGAATATGTTTGCTCTGGAAAAGTAAACAAATAGGACTGTAAGGTCAATGTAATATCACCTACAACTCCCGAACATCCCTTTCAAAGCATTGTATAAACATTAACCAACCCACGTAGCTCTCCTGAGGGGCAGGTAAGTTAAGTGCTATTATCATATTATCAGTTAGGCTAGCCAGTGGTTGGCCTAATTTATGTCTTTGGCTGCTTTCCTGGATTCTTTGGTTTACGTGCACTTGGCCGCTACACAAATAGATGAACATTTACTGCGGTTCCCTCAGTTGTGGGATTGCAAAGCAGATTTGGGAAGTAGTAGGAAGAGCAGGGCTCAGTCAGCCACATCAGACAGGTTGAGATTACTGTTTGTGTTCATCAAGTCCTTTTGTTTTTTGCACACCAGACTGCTGCCTCCAGGAATGCAGTGGAGGAGGACCTGGTCAATGGGAGGTTTCCTGTGACTGCAGTTGGTGGTAGGGCTATCGTAGATGGCTCCAGGGCAGGGACAAGGCTCTGCCTGAGCCCAGCTGGGATGCGTTGGCTACAAAATCCCATGTCAGAGCCTGGGAGCTGAGAGTATTTGATTGCTCCCAGCTCGGGGTATGCTCCAGCCCTGGTCATGCACGGTCACTGACTGCAGCTGTCTTCGGGCCAGGCATTGAGGGTCCCTTCCTCATCCGGTATCAGATCTGGGGCAAGGGACCTTGGCTTCAGCAGGGTTTGAGAAATGCTGCTGGCACATAGACGTGGGTCCCAGGGGCACAAAGGGGGGAGAGGAAACCCCCTTTGAAAGGGTGTTTGTTTTCACTTGAATTGGAAAAGACTTGCATGACCGATGCAGAGCACTTCATGTTATGAAAAGTGACAGCTTTCTAGTGTAACACTGGCTACCACAGGAATTCAGTAAAAGGACAAATTGAGAGCATAGAGATTTTATGCTGGCAGTCACAAGTTCACAAGTGGTCTGCCACAGCCCTGGAAAATGTGCTTTTCTCTATTGCACTTAATGCATCTGCCCAACTAAATCTTCCCATTCTATCTACTGTACATGCCACCGGACTGGGATCTTCAGTAATGAGTAAGAGCATGAAGCAAGTACCATGACTCACCTGGGAAAACATCCATGGAAAATCATATGCTTCCTGCTTAAGCATTTTAGCAGCACATGCCTTGTGATGTTTCGTTTATATCTTGTGCCTGATTAAATGTTTGTTTCCCATCAGAGTTTTTTTCTTCTTTTTAAAAAAGAAATTTGGCACTCGGCTTGCACCCGGCCGAGGAAGCGTTACGCAAACTGTTTATGCCCGAGTGCGTCTGCTGCGGGACCCCGCTGCGGCAGCCCTGAGCGCGAAGTGTTTACGCTGCGGGAAGGGGCTTCCAAAACCCTGCCCGCCCTCCTCCGCACCCCGACGACTCGGGGCACCGCCGCCTCAAGCGCCTGGGAGCCCGTCGCTGCCACCCGCAGCGCTCCGCAGCGGGGCCCCGCTTCCGCGGCATCCCCCGGAGCCCCGGGCCGAGCCCACCCGGCCTCGCCGGAGGCTCCGCGGGCAGGGGCGGCCCCGCGCAGCACAGCGCGGTGCGGCGCGGCCGGACCCCCTTTGTCTGCGGCGCGGGGGGGACGCGCATCCCGGCCCCTGCCTTTCCGCACCCATCCGCGCACACCGCGTACCGACACGCACCGCATGTGCGGACACACGCGCACCCAGCCCGTGCGCACATATACGCGTACGTAGAGGCGTATGTGCGTGTGTGCGGACACGTGCGTAGAGACCGACGCGTTGAGCACAGTGCGCACACGCCCGTGCGGTTCCCCGTGCGTGCGCACGCCCGCGTACTCCGCGCACACGGGCGCCCCAGCAGACGCGCGTACCCGCACACGCACACGCGGCGTGTATCTACCTCGCACGCCCGCGGAGGACGGAGAACGCCGAGCGCGGCCGGTCACGACCCACCTGCAGCGGCGGCGGCGGCGCCCAGCAGCAGCAGCGCCAGCCGCGTCCCGCGCCCCATGGCCGAGCGCCCCGTGGCCGCCCGCCCTGCGCGCCCCGCCGCCCCGCGGCGCGCCCGGCCCCGCGCGGCATCAGCGCCCCGCGCGGCACCGCCGCCCGCCGCGCACCGCGCCGCCCCGCGCCGCCGCCGCCCGCCGCGCAGCGCCCGCGCACCGCCCCGCGCCCCGCCCTGCTCTCCCGCCCGCCCGCCCGCCCGCCGCGCCGCGGGGGGCTGTTGCCGGTGCGCGGCCGGGCGCGGTACTGCAGCGCAGGGCACCGTCCACACACGCATACGCACCCCCCGCCCCGTCCCCGCAGCACCGGCGGCCCCGCCGCGGCAGCCCAAGGCGGGCGGGCTGAAGCCCGGAGACAGAGAGAGATCCGCGATCCCCCGGGACAGGGGCTTACCCCTCGCCAGTCCCCGGGGGCTTCGGCTTCCCAGCCCGGGCGCGCTGTCAGGGCACAGAGGGTGGTAGTGAAGCTGCGAAAGGCAGCCTTCCTCCGGCCCGGCTCGGTTTCAAACGAGGGACTTAATTCACCACAAGTAACTCCGGGCCGCTCAACTTCGAAGATGTTATTTGCTTTATCGGCTTTTCTGGTAACTGAGCGATGGAGCCACGTAAACGTGAGAGGTTTTCCCTTCTTTCCTGGGACTTGGCAATCTATGGCTTAGCTCCTGTATGGTTTGCTGGGTTTGATAGCACCGGTCACCACACTGCAGCAGCAGTTTTGGGCTCTGAAAATAGGAAAAGACACAGTTACATCCGCTGTTCGCCTCCAGACCATTACATTTTTAGGTATCAGCAAAGGACCATTAAGAAAGCAAGGGTGGAGCACTTCAGAGCAGTCACTCTTTTAATTTACCTGAATCTAACCTGGGAGGCAAGCATGTTGCAAGAGCTACAAAATATTACAATCTGGCATTCTCTGCACTTTGAATTTGGACAACTTAAGAACAATTCCATTTTAAGAAGCAGTGTGACAGTGTCTTAAGACTACCCTGCTGCCTCCAGTAATGCATTTTACTGCATTACTGCACATCTGACTGGACAGTGTTATCTCTATGTCTTTACCTTAGAAGGCAGAGGAAGTTTTTTTTGCCATCAGTTACATGCCACAGGGGAACATTTTGCTCGTCTTGCTACTGTTGTTTTCTGTGTCCTACAGGTGAGAGCTTCTAGACAAGGACTTCTAGTCCCCAGGCACCTGTTGAGTCCCCATGGCTACTTGTGAGCTACTCAGGGGCTTTTCCTGCAGCCTGACTGTCCAGGTGTGGGATGCTTCAACACATCTGAGCCTCCTTACAGCAGTGACCACAGAGGTAAAGGATGTTCCAGAGACTTTCTGCCTTGCATCTTTCAAAATTGTGATGTATTGCCAAGGAATCACACAGAGGTTTGTGTTGTTACAGACAGGTTGCAGCAGTCACATTCTGCAGGGCTGGGAAATGAAAAGCCACAGGTGGGGAATTTATCTCCATTGCAACTCATAGCTCATAGTTCTTTCTACGTCGACAGTGCCAGGTGATAAGTCTGCTGTAGGGTGATAAGTCTGGGTGGACCTGAGTAAGACCTCACACTACTCTGTCAACCCACTTGGCATCAGGAGCATAGAGAAGGTTGAGGTCCATACACAGCAGGAGTAGTTTCCTTGATAGGGTAGAAGGCAAGACCTGTCAGGAGCAGGGGATGGCTCTGGAGAAATCCCTGAGTCAGGAGGGGCAGAGATGATCTGGACTGAAAAACTCCAGAACAAAAATTTTGGAGGAAGTGAATGGTACTATCACAAGCTGGAGAGGGAGTGTGCAAACAGGCTCAGGCTTAAATTGGAAGAGGGAAGAGCAGTGTCCAGTGAATGGAAATGAGTTGTGTGGTGTGTAATTGTGGGGCTAGAAGAGGGAGAGAGCATGTGCTCAGGACATTCACAGCATTGTCAGAGGCAGGAGGCTGGATATTGCTGAAACAGATTAATGGAATAGAAAACTGGAGAGAATAAAGGATAATTTCCAGATAACTTCAAAGACGACATCCCAAAGTCATCTTAGGTATCCATACATTTGAGAGCTTGAGAGCATGATCCCAGTCCTTTGAGATGCTGCCTGGCTCATGTGCCTCAGTCCTTTTATACCAAATAACTCAGCTGCACTTTCTTGCCTATCAGCTCTGTTCTTCCTAGAGGAATTTATTTTACTTGTTGGAGGCCTCACAGTCTGCCACTTGGGCCATGGGAAACTCCTATCCTCCTGCACCCCTTTCCTGGCTCCTGGAGGCTCCATGGGACCCGCACACACCTGCAGCCACGAGTGCACCCAAGCCAGTGGCTCAGTGAATACAGCCCGGGGAGCTGCATATCGCCACAAACTGTGGGCATCTTCCCAGGACAGATGCTGTTGTCTGCTGCTTCACAGGGCTGAAGGGAGTTCCCCAGGAGGTTAGAAAGGTGCAGAGGTGTTTCAGCACAGTTTTATTTCCTGTATTGGTCAGTGTTGCCTCTTGAGTTGCCAGAGGGGGGAAAATCACATATTTGAGAGGAGGTGAATGTACACCTCTCACCGAATTTCTTCAGGATCATGAACTTTTGGGTTCATGCGGCACTGCTAGTAAAAGAAGAGCGAGAGTTTTTTACAGCTGTCATTTGAGAGTTCATCATCACCTTTCACTCTGAGGGTGGTGAGGCACTGGAACAGAATGGCTCAGAGAAGTTGTTGCCCATCACTGGAAGTGTTCAGGGCCAGGTTAGCTTTGAACAACCTGGGCTTGTGGAAGGCATCCCTTCCCATGGCATCTAGAGGATGCTAGATGATATTTGGCCCCTTCCAGCTCAAACTATTCTGTGATTCCATGATTCCTGTAGTGTGGCTGTAGGTAGACAGGTAGATGGAAAGGCTCAGAATGTGAAGATCACCTGTCTGGTGTATGCATTTCTCAATTTTATGTAGGAAGTCTTTAAAGGCAATGATGTTGTTCCATCAACAGAAGTGTCACAGTTAAGTGTGAAGGAAGTAATCAGGGATGACAAGCCTGGGGGCATGGCCTCTGCCTTCTCAGAGATGCTGAGAAGGTAACCTGAAGGAAGGAGCCTGCTGCTTTGGCAGAGGTCCCCAAAGGCATGGGGAGTGGAAGCAGAAGCCTTTTGGTCTTATCTGTCAGTGCAAAATCCCAGCGCTGAATCGTGTGAGGAGAGATGACCCTCAGTGAATCTCCTCCCCAAGCACCCTGCCAAGGGTAAGGATGAGTTGGGACTAAAACTTTCAAGTCACTGTATGAGGTTAAATTTAGAATCAGACCACAAAGGGGGGGGGGGGGAGGGGGAGGAGAAATACCTCACCCACTTAGAGCCACCTGGTTTAGACTTTCGTCTAAGAAGTATAAAAATTTTAAAAATCTCAAAAATTCAAAAGAGCAAACTTATTTTTAACTAGAGGCTTGTTCAAAGATCAGCATTTTGTCTGTTGGCATCTGTGTAAGTATGCAGAACTCCTGTTACAGTTTAACTGGAGGCCCTTGGGGTCGGTGCAGTCCTCCAGACATGCCTGACTATTTTAAGTGGTGTGACGTGTGCTGTTTGGGCCTGCTGGTTCATTCACTGCTCTTCCACCAACTGGGCATGGCCTGCTCAGTGCTGTGCACGGTGTGGAGGCGCTACCCAAGCAGAGCATCACAGTTTGGTGGGAAGATGAGAGGCTGGATGGGAGCAGTCTTTGCCAAGCAGTATAACTGCAGGGCAGCAATTCCAGCTGAACAATTACCTATGTGTTTTATCTCTAGTGATGCTTACTTTTATTTAATAGATTATTTTTCATTGAGGGACCCTTTCAGTGTCCTCTGGGCAGGACTGGATGTATCTCACTCTGCTCAGCAGTAGGGCTGGTCCTTTACTATGTAGGATTTGGTGATGTTACTGTTTATATGAAGGATCTACTGGATTAGCAGACCTAATTATTTCAGAGAAAATTTGGCTGATCCAGATCTTGTGGCTGTTGCAATTTTCAGGAGATGATCCTCTCTGCTAGCTATGAACAGAGGTTGATGTACCATGCACACATTTAAACATTTTAGAAGAGCTTTGTAGAAAGGAATAGAAATTTGTTTCAGTAAAAAATATGGTTTTCTTTAATTCTTCCTGTTAAAACACCTTGTTAACTCCTGTACTTCTCCTTTTTTCTTTTTTTTGCAAATCACTGAAAATCTTCCAACCATCATCCAATGAGCAACAAAAACCTTTCACTGACTCACAAGATTTTGAAACAGCTTGATTCCCAAGTTTTCTGTATGATAATAAACCAAAGGAAAACCTAGAGCAAACATTACTGATTAAAGCTCCATATTCACAGTGTCAGGGAATCACAGACTGAGTAAGACTGGAAGGGACCACAGTGGGTCATATGGTCCACCCTCCCTCAAGCAGGGTCATCACAGAGCAGATTGCACAGGATTGAGTCCAGACAATTCTTTAATATCTCCAATGAGGACAACTCCAAAGCCTCTCTGGGCTAGCTGTTCATGTGCCCTGTGATATGCAAATTCCTTTTAAAACTGAATTATTATACATGAAAATACCCTAGAAACAACTGGAGAAAATGAGGGAGCCAAACTGTCCTTACCTTGCCTTTACCAGTGACTGACTTAACTTTTTGGAGCCAAGTATTTTGCATGCTTGACCAGCATGCATCTAAGAATGGGAGCACTTTTATGGGATTTATGGAATTCAATGTAATTGGAAGTCAAGTCTCAGAAGGATTATACAGTGATAGTGCTATTCTTCAGATGGAATATGTAATGTGGATGGAAAACATCCTATTTCTGCCCACAACAAGGAAAAATGCAAAGGGTCAGTCAGGAACCTGAAAAAGAGAGGAAGAAGAAATCCTGGAGTTACTCCCTGCACTTCACATTTTATGTGAGGGCAAAACTGAGACCATGACAGCCTCTTGGGTAGACTTCTGCACCTGGCACATAATGCTAAACCCCTTCATAAATCACAGAAAAACCTGTTTACTATGCAGTCTAGTAAAGATTTGAATCTTGTTACTCTGTGTATAGCACTGGTCTTTTTAGTGTGGGAATGGGTCTCCCCACTCCTGTAAGTGTTCATCACCTGCTTATGAAAGCAGGCATTGCTTCTACTTACAGTCCTCTCGTGGGAGGGATGAGAGGGTTAAGGCTGTTTCAGGTATCCAGGAGGTCCAATAGCTGCTACACTTCTCTGACTAGGAACAACAAAATGCCTTCTGACAGGGATTTGTTTTAGGAAGAAAGGTCAGTCCCAAGTCCACTGCTGCAGGGGATTGCCTGGCAGTGCACAAGGCTGGATCCAAGTGCATTAAATTCTACATCCACTGCTATAAAACCCAACCTCAAATCCTATTTTCAGTAATACTTTTTAAATGTTTTGCCATCTTTCTGGAAGGGTGAGTTGGTGTTTCATTCTCCAAGCCATAATAGCTCAAATCCCACCTCAATTGTTTTTCATGTGCAGCTGGTTTTTATCCACAAGCCATGGCTCCAGGCATTTTGAGTTTGGGGTTTTTTTTCCCTTTCTCCTTCTCTTTTTAATGTTCATTTTGGACAAGCAGGAATGAAGGGGAACCAGCTAATCTGCCCATGCTCTATTTACAGGGGATTCAGGAGGAAAAAAAGCAAAGTAAAAGACAGAAAGAAATGGGGAGGATGTGCTAAAGAAAGAAAAGTGTTGGTAGGCAGTCAGCATAATTTTTTGCAATAAGACCTGTACTTGCTGGACTATTGTTCTCAGTATTCTCTTAGCTCCCACATAACCTCTGCCCTTCCTCCTCCCCTTTTTTTCTGGGTAATTGATATGCAAATATCAAGACCAGGATGAAATTTAAATGCCATAGAAACCCACAGCATCAACGCTTTCTCTGTGTCCTTCAGGCAACAAATTATTAGGAGGATTAACCTGCTGGCTGCTTCCTGAATGCCACCTCTGCCAACTTCAGCATCTAGTCAGCAGAAACACTCCTGGCAGCCAGGGAGAGCGGCCGAGGCGGTGAGAGGTGGCAGCGATGCTGAGACAGCTGGCCACGGCGGCAGCCTGGGGCTGGCGGTGGGACGAGGCTGGGCACAGCCCTCCCAGGCCCTCGCCCTGGCTTTGGTTCAGCCCTGGCACCCAAGCCCGAAGCTGGGAGCAGAGTGCCAGAGGAAAGCCCAGCAGCCAGCAGTAGCCACAGCAGTGGGGTGTGGAGCTGGAGGAGTGGGCTGCGGGTACAGAGAGAAAAGGATTAGCTGAGGAAATCTGCTGTCACCTCTCCCCTACCCTCCAAGCCACAAGTTGGTCTGGACCTTTGCCTTGTGCTGGAAAACCATCAAGGGTAAGAGTTGGCACATCTTTCATCCCCAGGAAACACCTGGCTGGCCATGGGATACCACAGCCTGTTTCTCAACTCCTGATGGGGGAAAGACCCTTGGAATTGCTGTACCTCACCACT